CACCACCACCACCACCACCACCACCAACAACAACAACAACAATAACAACACCACCACCACCACCACCACCACCAACAACAACAATAACAACAACACCACCATCACCACCACCACCAACAACAACAACGATCCACTCACCGACGGTAAAGGTGACAGCCGGTTGTAAAGAACCGATCCAGGAGGCAGCCCCCCGGCCCGTGTCGAAGTAGTGGACAAACTCCGTGAGGAACACGCCGAACGAGTACACCACGCCGTCCGCGATCACGTGGATGAGGAAGGACGAGATGACCACCATGATGCCCCATCCTCCGTCTGGCGGCTTGATGTAGCCCTCATCCTGCTGCTGGGAGTCGGACGTCTGTTCCGTCGACTTCCCGCTAGACGCCGCGGACGTGTCAGGAACGACAGCGCCATTTTGGGCGGATTTCTGGGTGGACTCGTCCATGGAGCTGTCGGCGACAGTCATATTGCCGAGGTGGTGGGGGAGAGACGGTTAAGTTGTTGAGAGAGACGGCGAGAGACGGCGAGGTGGTTGAGAGAGACGGTGAGAGACCGTGAGGAGGTTGAGAGAGAGAGAGACGGTGAGAAGTCTGGGAGTGAGCGAGGTGATGGCGAGAAGGCCGGGAGTGAGCCAGGTGATGGCGTGAAAGAACACGTCTATCCACGATGAGTAACGTTCTCGTCAGTCAGTGCACCAAAAGTCCAAGGACACCGACGTGTATGAAGAAGAAAAGTCCTTTTCCTCACTCCAATGTCCAATTCACGACAACTGTCCACGGGTCACACTTTAGGTCCGTTAGTGAAATCAGTAAATCAACCACAAATTTTTCGAGAAGTTTCTTTTCCGCTGCCTACTTAAGTAGTCCCGAGTCTGATGCTGTGGACAGCTTTGGCCGATGTTCACACTCACACACGATAGTCCACGGCGACTTGAAGGGGACCAAGCCTGAGCTGTTCCTGAAAAGACAACGAGAAAACGCAAAGTCAGGTAAAATCTGGAGAACACAAGGCTGACGCCACCTTCTCGAATGAACCCGCTTACGTATACTCCAACATACCTGC